TTATTTAAGAGAAACATACTCTTATACGGTTAAACTCGTATATAAAATTGCAACAAATAATTTAGTGATTTTTTAAGTAAAATCATCCTGGTAACTTTCTCGATTGTTGAGTTTCACTTTAACTAGTTCATCTAAACTTCACTTGATAGTGAAAATTAAGTGTCCAAAGACTTAAGTACGAGAACATTTTCAATGTACTTAAAATATGAGATGATACATCATATGTCGTTATATAAATAGAGAACAAATTTATTTTTCAAGTGTCGCTCCACTTGCTAATGACATATAATGATGTAACACCCGTGTTTCAGGCATATTGATAACCACTCACAAGAAAAGTATGATGATTTGTTTAATAATAAGGAATTGTTATTAGCACTTCAAAAATCTCATTTGGCACTCTAAACTTTCTATAATTAGATAAAAAAATACACTTGTAAATAGTACAGAATAAAAATTTTAAAATGCTAATAATATTTCTCTAATAATAATGTGATGTGGTCCCTTTCCCAATCCAAACACAATCCCAAAAGCACCAAGACCAAAATAGTAATTATATTTAAGTCAACCAGCAGCAATCAGTTAATCACACACCCAAAAAACTTAACATAACACCCCCCACCTCCACCCCTCCCCGCGAATAATCTCATAATTTATTTCAAATATTTTCAACCACACCACCAAAGCCAGGCCCAGAACTGTTGCCATTGCAAATAGCTAGAACCGCGTCATGGCTTCATCAATGGCTTCCGGTCACTCTGAGAGCGACTCCGTAATACAATACTAGACATAGACACACTCTTCCTTGGCGGTTGGTGGGGCATACTCCTCACTGCCTCTCTTTCTCTCTCTCTCTCTCTCATTAAACGTTCCACCTTCTTCTTCTTCAAGCCCGCTCTCTTTTCGCAGAGCATTCTTAAGTTTCTTCTCTTCTGTTCGATTCCACTGAGCAGAAAAGAGAAAGATATTTTCAGTTTTGTTTGTTGGGTTTTTGAAGTTTGCAATTTTGTTTGGTGGGTTTTTTCTTGAGTTGCTCAAATTTTCAATCTTGGTGAAGAAAAGAAGAATTTTCAGAGAAATGGCGAAGACCAAGAAGAATCTCCATTGACGACCATGAAGCTGTTTTCTGTAACTGAAACGGCAATGGGGGCGAGAGCCCAAGTCGGCGCCTTTGCAGTAGCGCTAATCTTGTTCGTGATTCAGAGCGGTTTTGCGCAGCAGGTTTCTTTGAGCTCCGCCGTGGAACGGTCGGCGTTACTGGAGCTCCGCTCGTCGTTGGGTCTCAGATGCAAAGACTGGCCCATAAAGGCCGACCCTTGTTCGTTCTGGAACGGAGTCACATGCAGCAAGAACGGCCGAGTCACTGTGATCACCGTGTCCGGTTTGAGGCGAACCCGACTGGGCCGGAGAAACCCCCGGTTCGCCGTCGATTCACTGGCTAATTTCACCCTCTTGTCTATTTTCAACGCCTCCGGGTTTGCGCTTCCCGGGTCCATACCCGACTGGTTCGGCCAAAGACTTGGCGCACTCCAGGTGCTCGACCTTAGCTCTGCATCAGTCACTGGTCCTATTCCTCAGTCGCTCGGTAATTTGAAAAATCTTACCGCTTTGTATTTATCTGGCAATGGCATTACTGGGATTTTGCCTTCTGCATTGATAAATATAACACAGTTGGAAATTCTTGATCTTTCGAGGAATGCGATTACTGGGTCAATACCTTCTGGCTTTGCCAATCTTGGAAAGCTTAAAAGTCTTGACCTTTCTTCAAATTTTTTATCTGGGCCAGTTCCACCAGGTTTGGGAACCCTTTCATGGCTTAAATTCTTGGACTTGTCTGATAATAGTCTCACCGATTTGATTCCGGTTCAGTTTAGTAACCTTTCCCGGCTAGTTGAGCTTAATCTTACCACGAATTCGTTGTCCGGGTCGTTGCCTGCCGAGTTGAGAGGATTGAGGAGTTTGAGGAGGATGGAGATTGGAGATAATAACCTTGAAGGTCCAGTACCGCAGGGTTTGTTTTCGAGTCTTGTTCGGCTGGAGGTTCTGGTTCTGAGTCGGAATAAATTTAATGGTGCTATTCCTGGTGCATTGTGGTCACTTCCCAGTTTGCGCTTTCTTGATGTATCCCGCAACAATTTTACAGGAACTCTGCTGGGCCTCGGTTCAAATGCTAGTGTTCGTGGTGCTGTGTTCAACCTTTCTAGTAATCTGTTATACGGAAATCTGACCTTCCCTGTTGGGAAATCTGTCTCAGTCGATTTGTCTGATAATTTTTTCCAAGGCAAGGTATTCGAAGATAGTCAAAGCAATAGTACTCTTACTGGAAATTGCCTACAGATGGTACCAAATCAAAGGAGTTTGCAGGATTGTAGACAGTTTTATGGAGAGAGGAGTTTAACTTTCGATGATTTTGGGGTCCTACAACCAGCTCAGCCATCTTTCCTAGAACCCAAATCAAAGAGTAAGAACCGATTAACATTTATATTGGCTGGGATATTTGGGGGACTTGGCTTTGTTGTGATTTTGGTACTGGTTCTGGTAGTGCTCCTGAAAATGTGCAATAAAGGCACAAATCAACGAGGAAGTGCAAATGTTGGGCCTGTTCCAGGAGATGACCCTTCACTCCCCAAAGATCTCATCTGTGCATCAAGTCGAGGAGATTCATTTACGTATGAGCAGATTCTCCAGTTCACTGGTGCTTTCAGTGAAGCAAATCTTATAAAACATGGACACTCTGGAGACATATACCGGGGATCCTTGGCGAGCGGCACCCCTGTAGTTATCAAAAGGGTAAATTTGCATTCCTTAACGAAAGAATCATACACGATAGAAATGGATTTATTAGGCAAGGTTTCACATACAAGATTGGTGCCAATTTTGGGTCACTGCTTGGAGCATGAGAGCGAGAAGCTTCTGGTTTACAAATACATGCCAAATGGAGACGTGGCTAGTTCCTTGCACAGGGTTACCAACTTACATGGTAATTTACAGTCCCTGGATTGGATTACAAGATTAAAAATTGCAATTGGAGCGGCTGAAATCCTAGCTTACCTACACCATGAGTGCAGCCCACCACTCGTTCACAGGTATTCCTGAACTTTCTTTCAGCTATTGATCTGAGCAGCATCTTATAGCCACCGTCAATATTCATTGTGATTCCGAGTCCTCATAACTTCTGCTCTGTCCTGATAAAATGCATTTTTTTGGCTCAAGTCATTTATGTCTTATAAAACCTGTTTAGTCTGTAAAAATAAAGATTTTATGATGATAGTTAATAGTTACAACTACAACTACTGCTTAAACCTAAGGTAAAGTATGCCTATATGGTGACTGTAGTTCCCAGACTCGCTATAGTTTTTACTTCATGCTTAATTGTGCTGTATTTTACTAGTTTCAGTTAGTTGATTAGTTGATTAAGTTGTATAAGCAATTGAAAGTTTATTTTTGGTGGTTGAAGAGATGTTCAAGCAAGCAGTATACTTCTCGATGATAAATTTGAGGTCCGGCTTGGAAGCTTGAGTGAGGTCCATGTGCAAGAAGGGGATGGTAACCAAAATGTCATCACGAGATTGTTGCGGAAACAACAGTAAGTGTTGATTCTCAGTAGCCCTGCATATATGTGATCTTTAGCATTTTTCATCAAATTATACTTCAATCGTGGATAATAGGATCTGTTTTGTTATTATATATATATGAGAAACAAAGTAACAGTTCCTTTCTGTCTTATGCAGAACATCGGAACAAAGCCCTTATGGTACGTATATCGACTTGAAACCTTTTGTCTGAAATTTTATTCCTCGTATCTCCCTTCCCAGTTAAAACTCTCAAGTATTGGCTCTTATATTTCTCGTTCAATAGATTATTTAATTTTCGTTTCTTTCTGTGGATAGCCTCGGCGTCAGCAGTTTGTGCATATGATGTATACTGTTTCGGGAAGGTATTGCTTGAGCTTGTGACGGGTAAGCTTGGCATCAGCAAATCCAATGATTCCTCTACAAGAGAGTTGTTGGAGCACATAGTGCGCTACATCAGCATATACGACAAGGAACTGTTGAATAAGATTGTTGACCCGTCTCTGATAGTAGACGAAGATCTATTGGAAGAAGTTTGGTCCGTGGCAATCGTGGCCAGGTCCTGCCTCAACCCCAAGCCGTCTAAGCGCCCCCCGATGAGATACATCCTTAAAGCATTGGAAAACCCTCTAAAGGTGGTGAGAGAAGAGAGTTCCAGCTCTGGAAAGCTGCAAACATCTTCATCGAGAAAATCCTGGAGCGCTACTTTCTTTGCTAGCTGGCAGCATAGTTCATCATCAGAGAGCGCCACTGTTCCTGGCCAGACAAGCAAAGAGAGCATCAGTGGCTTAAAACAGTCGGGGCAAGTAGGTGGAGGGGAGGTACTCTGCATCACACAAAAGGTTATCAAATGAAATTTTCCCTGAGCCAAATGAAATACAAGATCTCGAGAGGCAAGACGAACATTAGATATGAACGATGGCGTAGTCTTCACATTGACCACCAGCATCATTGCTCTGCGTCTGGGTTAAGCGGCTCGACGAGGATGCTCGGATAGAGATTACGGGCTATCTGACAGATTGGAAATGCAGAGTGAAGTTGGTATTTAAGTTGAGCGAGATTCTTATTGATATGATAAGCTTGTTAATTGAAGAAAACAAGCTGCAAAGCTCTGCAACTCGTGCTTTATGAAAGATCCCACGAGCAGAAATTGTTAATGAATTTTGTTATACATGAAGAATTGTCATGGTTGTCAAAATTCAAACTTCATCAGAACCAAAAGCATTTGCATCCTGTTTCTGGAGTCACTTTTTGACAACCAAAAGCACTTAAAAATATTTTGGCAGAAAAACTTGAAAGCGCTTCTAGGTCATAGAACTACTTTCTAGAAAAGCACTTCCAAATGCTTTTCCAGAATGCAATTCCAAACAAGCCCTTAACAACGCTATATCATCTGGAGAGAAAAAATCTAAGTGAATCGGATAGTCATGACACGCAACGAAACATTTCTTCATTCATAATGCGGAAAAGTTTGTACTACATACAGGGGCAAAGAAAAGTAAAGGGATTATAAGCACTTAATTTACAGTAATCTATTGGAGCAAACATTTATAAGGGGGTACTAAGCTTTTGGCATTAGCTCTTTGTTTAATGGTTCTCAAAGCTGAACTCACTACGCTCCTCCTGAAATGCTGCCTCTTCTTATCACGACGCGGAGATGCTTCACAGGGGAAGAATATCGAATTCATGGGGCATGTAGTCTTCACTCGGCCTGTAGTATTTGTCAGGAGAATAGAGGCTCAAGTTGGAAACTTGGCTAGCATAAAGGCAGGCAAATCTTTCAACCTGCAAATCACAGATGACCATAAGTTTCACCCAAATACCCAATGAGCCACCGCCTTACGGCAAGCAGTTTTGGCATAGGATTACTAAACAACGAACTAGGAACCTAGAAAGGAGGTTTACACCTCACCTGATGGGCAAAGCGAGAGTTCTGATAGCCAGTCTTCATGAGTTGTCCCCAAATCTTGTGAAACTGAAATCGTAAGCAAACCAACAAGTCAACATTCTTGAAACCAAATTCAAGAAAATTCATATACCACTGGACTAAAGCCTCAGAACCAGAAAGAATAGTTGATGTTGTACAAGAGAATCACTACCATTTGGTGACATTCACGTTGAGACTGTTGATGGATGAACCGCACTTGGTCTCTTTGGAACTATAAAGTTAAGCCATTAAGAAGTGATAAATACAAATTTCAAAACTGTTAAGCAACATATTTAAGCAGCCGAAATAAACTTTGCTTTGCATGTTTAACAGGCTTACCTCCAACGCATTGTATTCAGAAGATAATTTTTGCTTCTCCTCAGCACTGATATTGTCATATCTGAGAAGAGCAACCTCACTTCTATGTAAATTATCCTCACAAAATAAATAATAAAAGCAAAATAGAAACCTAGATGAACACCGACTTGAGAGACCACTTTAGATGATGTATTTTGTCTTCAATCAGATCGCGCTCATTCCTCAACAATTGAAGTTGCTGTATGAAACCAGTGTACGAGTTACATTCTAAATAAGCTTGTTGATCATGATACTAGACTACAGCTGTTGAATTTTAGAAGGACCTTGCGGGTATCTCTCAATTCCCATAGGAGTTCAACCTCCCTTTCTAGCTCTGGAACAACAAGCATTGTTCTCCACCCTGTTCATAAAGACAAGAAATTAGGGAAAGTATGATCACATTTGAGGAAACAATGTTGAAGAAAGAAAACATGCACATCGTTTAAAGAAGTGACACTGATAAGATAACCGAATATCAGAAAGAAAATGATCAGTACCAAGAACTTTTTTGCTGCGCAAAATATCTCCGTATATATGGTCACCAACATAAAGAACCTATGAAAAATGTGCAAAATATTAGACCCAAATTTGTTAATAACATCAAATTTTTCTTTCAACTGACGTACTTTGAGGATAGAATAGTTCACCTGTGAACTTGACTCAATTGAAAGCAGTTTATGAAGATGCCCAACGCTGCCTCCCTGAAACAAGGTCAAAGGCATCATTACTCAAGTCAAAATAATTAACACAGTAATTAGCAAACAGAATGTTGGTTATAGAAATAAAGATGGTTGTGAAATAATGTAATTGTATTCGGATAAAGCTATTAATAGGATTCTATAATGCACTAAATATTTGAAAGAGTACCTGGAAAACTCTACAACCCTTCTTCAGTCCGTTCAATGATAATGTAGGTGCAGGTGAAGAACTTCCAACCTTTTAAAATATAAAATTGATAAATAAAACTAGATAAAATAAAGGGGATACGTGTGTATATTGTGACATAAATGAATAAAACTACATAAAATGAGGGGATACACGTGTACAATGCAACATACAATGAATTATCAACACTAGCATACCGACCTGAGCCATAGGAGAACCATTATCAGTATTATGTAGCATCCCCGACTCGAGATCTACCTCAAACAGATTAGCACGGTTACCATCATGAAAGAAGCTTGGCTTTGCACTGCATAGGTAACCGCTTCTAATGGTTAGTATAATGACAGTAGCTATGACATGGATGGTAGATGGCAAATTCTTAGTAAATTCAGAGATGATGAACATAAAGGATAAACAACGTAACTCATACAAGCCTACAAGATGGCAAAGGGTAGGGCAAGTGAAATCCAGATTAGCATTCTCCAGTTAATGAATTAATAAACTGAGTGGCAATATATGGTGAAGAACAATAAAGCATGCTTAGAGGAAAGGAAAAATCAAGACCTGCCAGTGATGACAACATCGAAGTATTTAAGCCAGTCGAAATTGCATTTTCTACTACCATCCACTGTGCGCGACTCACAAAGGAAATTCATTACAATGTTTGTATAGTCCCATAAACTGTAAGTAAGATGTGTTATTGATTATCAGCAAAACATATGTATATTTTCAAATTAAATTAGACAGAAATAAAAGAAGCACAAATACCTGTTTGTCACCAGGAATGTAGCACGGCCGGAATCTCTCAGCATTTTGAGCATAGGAACTATGGAGGTATCTTCATTAATGTACCTTGTAGCAATAAGCATGAAGACCAAGTAACATTGTTTTACCATTCAATCATCGATTGATTAGAATAATGTGAAACTAATACACAATGCTTATCCTTACCGCTGAGGGTCATTTGCCACCATTTGCTTTAAAGTTCCATCACGGTGGCACAAATCGACAGCAGCTCGAACATCCTTGTACATAACAGCGTAACTGAAAAGGAAAATACAAAATAAATTTTGATATAGAAGAATTTTACCATCCACGGACCACATAGCAAGTCATATTCTTACTCAACACTATCTGGAAATTTTCCCGAATTTTTGTCTTTAAAGTCAACCAGTTGGGCAAACATGTAAGCTTCAGCAAGGGCAAAGAGGGTATCAATGATAATATAATCTGGCTCGTCAAAGGAATCCCGCACTAATGTATTTCCATAGGTGTTAACCTTATCTTCCTTAGATAACTCTTTGAATCCATGGTAAGCAACTTTCACATACTTATGTCGATCCATCTGCACACCAATGCAATATCACACAGAGATTCGCAAGAAAGAATAGAAATCCAACCTAACTTGGAATGACCACAAAAACATAAAAACACCATAATCAACGGATCACCTTCAAGATGTTGCCTCTCTTCTTATCCAGAACCAACCCTCTGACCATATATGTCCAATCGAAGGACCAATTCAGCAACTACATCAGGTAATGAGTGTTAATCAACTTACTATGATTTGCTCCTAATTTAAAATGGTAGTAAATGATGCCTGCTTAGTGTTGAAATTAAAATGCACTAACTACTGGATTAATTGCAATATTAAACCAAATTAATTGAATATCTGATATGTTAACAACATCAATTTCTTCCTGAAATGTAGGAACAAATGATCGAACAGACAAACCTCACGAGGGTATCCTAGATCGTACACCAACTTCCGGATAGTTCCATCGTATGCAAGAGACTCGAAGGTTTCTGGCTTGTACTGTGCCAATGTGTAATCCATATCAAATCCTACCGCAACAATATTCTTCATATTCAACGATCTGTTGCAGAAGATCTGCTTTCTTATGTCAATTTTACAGTCCTCCTTGGGGAGATGACCATACACATGGTTTTTGAACACCATCAGTCAAGCCCATAGGTGCAAAATGCGCTGACTGGTCACCTCCTACAGCAGTTTCGTGGCCCTTTTCCATCGAATAACTGGCATGCAATTGATAACCTCCTGTTAGATTATAGCAACGGAGCAAAAATTAGAGCTTCTAATAGTGAACGAAAAGGATGATATTTTCACTTAACTAAGGCAGGATGCACTATACATACATTAACAGATTCAGATGATGACTGTATACGGTACTTATCTAGAAATATCACATTAAACATCATAGACATGCAAACAATGTGAATTAAAAGGGAGTGTGACAATCTATCAAAAAGCTTTCCGAAAAACAGCTCAAAAATCCTCATTTCCACTCATTCTTCGGCTGACCCTTTTCAAACAACTACCCAAACGACAAGTCTACAAGTAAAAAATGAAAGATGGAGTGAAGAAGAAGAAGAAAACCCCATTTTCACAAACAGAAAATAATTACTAAAGTTACAATCTTTTCGAAAAACAGCTCGAAAATCCTCATTTCCCCTCATTCTTCACCAGACCCTTCTCGAAAAACTTCCCAAACTACAAGTCTTCATTTTCTTAGAAAATGAAGAAGAAGAAGAAGAAAACCCCATTTCTACAAACAGAGAACCTGGATGGGGAATCTTACCTCAAGTGCCAAACAAAAGTGAGCGCACAGTGCACCAGGTTAAGTTCGAACTATAAGAATCCTCCAAGCTATGCTCCAAGAGACACCTAAAAATTACCAATTTTCTCAAAGTTAAAAGAAAAGCTCTGTGCTTTTTGCTCTCTCTCAGTACAAACCCCCCAATAGTTATAGCCTTCTCCTCCTACTAACTTCTAAAATGCTTCACGCCAGACAACAAGGTAAAATCACAAAACAACAAAAACCCACCAGCGAAACGTAAATGCAGACTCTACCCTCACAAAATTCACGCTTCACAAGCTCAAAAAATGGTTTAAAAATTGAAAACTTTGAAAGGAAAAACAATGAGGACGAAAGCAAAAACGAACCTATTGTGTGAAAGCCTTTTCTTTTACCGGGAGAGCGGAAGCGGGGAAAGAGAGAGGAAGCGGAAAGTTCGGGATAAAACAGAAAGAGGCAGAAGGAAACGGGTTTCTTGGGAATTCGCATGGTGGTGTTAAATAGGCATTTGGGAGGAGGAGGAGGAGGGAATGGAAGGGGTGATAAGAAGGAATGGGATTCGGGGGATTCCGATGCCAATGGGATTATGTGGCAGGGAACATCTAATTTGGTTGGGAGTTGGGAGTATTATTCCTCGCAGTGGGAAGGGAGAGGGAATTAAATTCGCTGGGGACGGAGCTGACGAGAGGAGGACTACGGATTTGTTGTTGTTTCCGTTTCTGGAAACGCGAATGGTGGTGGTGGTGGTGGTGGTGGAAAAGTGGTGGGAAATTGTTCATGGCAGATGGAGAGATGCTGTGCCACGTAGTCTAGAGACTAAGATAATATTAACTTTTCCATTTGTAACTTTAATTGAGTTTTTAATCTAATTTTTAATTCAGCATATGTTCCAATTTCATACTATTTTTCAGATTTTTTTTATGTTTTAATTCTTATTAAAATTTGATGAGGTCGGTTGATGATGATTATAAATTAAACTAATAAAATTATAAAATAGAAGATTGAACTTTGAAACATATTTCAACATGTGAAACTAAGCAAATTTTTTTTTTTTAAATTTGTTGTTATTAAGGGGAGCTCAACATATATTATATGAACTCTATTAAAACTGTGGCAGATTCGTGACACCACTTTTTTTACACAATTTTTTAATCTAATTTTTATACAGTCTATCCCGTAATACATTTCAACAATTTGAACCAGCTATCTTTAGATCTTCCTCAAATATCATGTCTACTAAAAATTACCAAAATAAAAAATCATATGACCGTCATGTTATGAGTTTTGGGGTTTCTTTGTAAGGATGATCTACTAAACGTATTCGTTTATTTTTTTTACTATAAATAATGTCTTAATAGTTTTGATTTGTCTAAATTTTTGTAAGGATAATTTATGAATTATGTTTTAAAAGATAAACGGTTTAGATTGTTAAAGCATATTACGAAATGCTCCCCACAAAATTGTCAAAATTGCTTTTAAACCTGAATGCAATTTTAAACCTTCTTAAACGATGTTCAAACGAGTCATTGAGTAGAGAACTTTCAAGTCTCATTGGATTGATGTCATAATAGTAAAGAATGACTCACAATATAGTAACTATAAGATATTAGATAAGAGAGATTTGATTTGTAAAAGATATTTTACAAGTTAGATCTTTATGTTTTGTAATGCTCGTATAGTACATTTTGAGTCTCTCATATTTAACATTTTGTGACTCATTCCTTACAAAGTTAACTTTAGCCCATTCAAATATTTATAAATTGTAACCAAACGTTCAACATTCCAAAACAAAAATTATACATTACCTTTTTTGCCGAAGATGACATCTTTGTGTCCTATAATCTTTCAGTTTTGATGATCCAGCATAGTCGAGTTCATCTTCAGCTTAGCTTGTATATACACATCATGGAAATTTGGGATCCAACCTGTTTTCCACCAGAATAAACTTCAACATAAGACACAATCATCTACTATTTTTTTTATGGAAAAAAAAGGACCAGTTGGTGCTGGAAAAACTCACCGAGATATTTCATCTATTATTCATAAGGTAGAAGTTTACCTATTAGAATTGACGATCCACAATTAACCAAGCACACAACAACTTTAATAATCAACTTCCGATAAGACCAAAGACTTAGTAAGTACAATATAGTCCGAAATGTAAAGCACATAACACATCTTGGTCGTAGATGAAGTGATCTTAATGAAGCCATATGAAAAATTGAACAATTTGTTTACTAAAATGCTAGATGAGATGAGAGGTTATAGAAGGTATGAGGACCGAAGGTCGGAAAAAGGCGAGAAAGAGGTCGGAATATGAGAGATTAAGGCAATAATAACTGGAAACGTTTAGATGTATTGTGATAGACCAGCGATATTGATATGGTTATTGCGTGAAGAAGATGATAACACAAAAGAACACATGCGACATCAACAAGGGTTCAGGGTTAAGGGTCGATCTATCAAATAAGTTTATTTTGTGTTTTTAAGCTTTATAGGGTGAATGACCGTCAAGTTCGGAAATAATAAATGTATGATATATATTAATAAATAAATGTAATAACATGTGTAGTGAGATGTTATTTGCATTTGAAAAGTCATTATGCATTCCTCAAAGTACTATTTCCTCTATTATGTTTTGGATAGTACTTGCATTCCTCCTTCGGAGTTATGCTCATTTCTTTATTTGCAAATAACGTATCTTTATTGTAGAAATGTTGCAACCAGAACCATTCAGTTTCTTAATTATCATTTAAAGATCATCAATTAGTCATATAAATGCATCAAATAAGTGGACAGGTCATCACTAGTATGTTATTTGGTAGTTACATCATTGATTTATTTGATACAATTAGATGACTAAATGACATCCAATTTGAATGATTTTTCGTAGGCTTGATCTGTACTTGAAGATTAAGAAATTGAATAGTTCCAACTATGAATTTTTAATGGTGAAAATACGTTATTTGCAAGTGAGACAATAAAGTTTATCCTCTACAAGGAATGAAAGTATTAGTCATCTATTTCCACGTTTTTGGAGAGCATAATAATTTTTTTTTTTTTTTTGAAGTGTCATTAACAACTTTCTATATACAATTTGCTTTAATGTAGAGAGCTTTAAGTACTAATAGTGCTAATGGACTATAATTGTTGAATAAAAAACAAAAATCTCTTTTGCTGACATGAAAATAAAAAGTAACTTGGAATTTTTTTTTTTACTTAAAAAAGAACGTTACTTGAGGCAAAAGAAGTTTGATACGTTACAACACTGCTGTTTGCCACCTGCGGAGAGGCGTTATCAGAAATTCATGCAGGAAGGCCGGGTGGCTTCGGGGGAGAAATCTGGGCATGAGTGCCGGGTGGCTGGCTGGCTTTGATCGCATTAAAAACGCACTCCGAATGCGTCCGTAACTGAAAAACTGAAGGCGTCAGGCGTTGGCGCCATCTGACTCGGAGAAGGAAGAAGGCAGATGGGATAAGTATTTAACATGCAAAGGGAGTCACAGTCCACTAATGGCGACGAAACTAACAAAAATTCAAGCATACTGCACACGTAGTTGCATCAAAGATGTTTCACGTTTGTTTATAAAATAAAATAAAATATATTTATAATTCGATTGTTTTGTGATTATTTTCATTTATTAATTGTGGCTCACTTCACTTGACAAGGTTTTATTAATTATTTTGATTATTATTTTCTTTGTTTAAAATTAAATCAAATCTCACAATTTCTAATCGTCTAATCAAATGAATTAGAAAAAAAATTAATAGATAAAAGTGTGTTGTAAGTATAAAAAGATGCGTAGATAACAATACTCATTAATAAAACACAATGCAAGTCAACAATTAGAAAGATCATAGTACACATATATTTTTATTGAAAGTAATATTACTACTTTAAGAATTACTGAGACGATGAGAGAAAGTTAAATTCAAAACGTAATGAATTAAAAAAAAAATTCTTATGCACCAGAACAATCGTTGAATATTTTGCCATCCCAAGCCCACCTAAACCCAAATGTTCATTAGCTAAGGCCCATTAAACTCGACAACTCCTATTGAAGTCCATTAAGAGCACAAAATAAAATCCCACCAATAGTGTCTCGCCAAGTCGGAAATGCAAAATCGCGTCCCACGTGACGAGGAAAGCAAAACGCCAAGTCGTATATCGCTGACTCACTCGCTCCACAACACGTCGTTGCAAAAGAGAAGCAGGCACACAACCATGGCAATTGCTTCGCACCGCCTCATCTCCAGCTCCTACTCACCCACAGTAACCGCCATCTCATCCTTCCCTCCAAAATCAAAAACCCTAATTTCAAATCCGAACGCTTCCCCCAATCTTCAACTCCCAAAACGCAGTCGTAGAGACGTCGCTTTGCTCTCCCTCGTCGCTCTCATCCCTTCGCTCTTCCGACCCGACGCGGCATCCGGATTCTCCTTCGGCATTTGTGAGCTAGCTCGCACCATTTTGATTTAGTCCTTCAGTTTCTAGTTATTTGATCTCGAAACCCTCATTTTTTCCATATTTCCGCAGCAGGACCAAAGGATTGGCTCCGCGAGCAGAAGAAGAAGGCCTCCAGGTTCCTCCTGGCCCCGATTGATGCCTCCCGAGAGAGCCTCGTCGCGGCTCATCGACTACTCAGTCTCTCTCTCTCTCTCTCTCTCTCTCTCTCTCTCTCTCTCTATATATATATATATATTTGTGTGTGTGTGTGTGTAAAATTTCATCTGGATTAATGTGATTTATTTTTACAGCGGCTACGGATTCGGATTATACGAACAAGGAGATGGAGGAGGTTCGGAGATTGTTTAGATCTGCCGCGAGGGATTGTGTTATAGAGGACAGGAACTCGTTTGTTGCATTTCAAGCCAATACAGGCGTTGAGGTTCAACATTTTCGCTCATTTATCCTTGTTTTATTTAATCAGGGTGATTCGGCAGCTCTTAATTTCTATTTAGTGCATAGAATCAACTGTTTGGATAGTTACTAAAAGCAGCATCTTGTGTGAATTTATCGGAATTTTTAAGGCTCTCATGCATGGCATTGAAAGAATCTTGTAGATTGATGAAACTGTTGAACTTTTGCTAATTGACCTCATATTATCAAACTTATTACTTCACAGGTTTGCACATTCCGTTTGGTTGTAAAGAACGCATCATCCTTGCTTGGTGATAAGGATCCTGTAAAATTGGAAGCTGAGTCTATTCTAAATGATCTTGTAAGGTACATTTTACGTCTGACATATTTACATCGTTGAGGAGTATGTTTCTCTATACAATTGCTGTAATATTTACAACATCGTCTTTTTCATTTCCATTTTTTATGGTTGTTATGTTGCAGATCATTCACTTCTCTTAATGGTCTGGTAAATGAGACTGACTTTCAATTTGCCACTGAAAGGTATGTCTCTTCTATCAAGATAAACATGGCAAGAGAGAATTTCTGTAGAAATTTATTTGCGTTCAGTTTTGTCGCACTCTTGATCCCTGAGAAAGATTTATTGAGTACTCTGTTTCGCATAATAGGGTACCAAGTTGTAAGTTAGTAATGATACATTTTCCCATCTCACTATTTTCTATTGGCTGCAGAAAGAAGGTTGCAGATTCTCTCATGGATACCTTATCATCCCTAGACAAATTTGAGCAAGGAATCAAGGACTGCCTTGACGCTTGACCAATTTGTAGGAAAAAAACTATCTAGTGGATATCGTGCTTGAAATTCTGTAGATGCATGTATGTTGTGGATTTGATCATCTCTCGTTGCTTGTCTATTCTGTTTCTTGATTTTTGCCCTTTTCATGTGCTTTTACCATGTTTTGTGCCATTTACTTCAATAAGTTAGATATTTATAATCTAGCAAAGTTATTGCAGTCTTAGTTTCTCATTGTGGCGATATTATTCTGGTCTTTGTTAACAGAAAGGTGCTCTGCTCTTGGTTTTGGAAAGACATGAATCGGAGGTCGTTCTATAAAGACTTACTAACTTTAATGAACAACAACTTTCTTGATTTATATATGTACATTTTTTTTTGTAATTAGAAATGTATAGGTCGTCACATTTCAAGTCATCCTAGTCATTTAATGATACTAACTAGGTTGATGACTTGAAATGAAGCAAAATCCACACTTTGCATTCCCCGACTCTACTAGCTATAATATTTAATTTTTTTATTTTCTTTTTCCTTACTTTGCATACCTGTTGTTGGTTGGTGTTGTTGATAATTTGCCTAACATAATTGAACAATTGAATATAAGTATTGGCTTCTTGGAAACTTTCAGACATCTCAAATTCGTTTGAGTTTCTCATTCCAATGGAATATATTTTTCTTCGCAGAACTACAAATATTGATGCTGCCTACTCCTCCTATGCTGCTTTAGTTTTGAGCTGACACTTTTGATCAGATCATTATCACCTGTTGGTCCATGTGGAATGGTATAATAGGTTGAATCAGATGGCTAAACCAAGCGGTAGCGAAGTTTTCCATCACCTGGCCGTGATGTACTGACCTAGACAAGCTGAGCAGCTAGTTGGAGATATTTAGTAAATATCTGCTGGCTATCTATGGAATAGTTTGATTCGGTGAACCAGAAGCCTCAACCAAATACAAGCGACAGCATGGCGTTCCATCATCTGGGTGGGTATATACTGACCTAGGCAAGCTGCGGAGCTTGTTGAACAGATTTGAGGGATCGTGCATGAGTCCAAAATGAGCATCTGGATCACCAATTTGTGATAGTTTAACATGAGAAAAGCCAAGAGATGGCAGGAGATGATCAGGCCAATCGCTGTAGAAATGGAAGATGGAATTGGAAAGACTGATTGATGGTTTGTTCATAAAATCTGCCAAGAGTACCGTCTGAGTAAGCAAGCACTTGCCTGCTATGGTTTCAAGTACCTGCGTGGCCTCGGAATGGGTTAGGTAGTAGAGGAGGCCTTCTAGCACCCACACTGTGTTCTTCTCTGGCACAAACCCTGATGTTTGAAGTTTTTCGAGCCAGTCATTGCTTCTGATATCAGCCGCCACTCTTGTAATGGATTTTGCTGTCATCATTAGACACGGGTGACCGTTTGTAGAATCCATCGCTGCTTGCAGGAGAGTGGCCTTTATTTGCAGGAGATCAGGAAAATCAACTTCAAACACATTGCTTTCCTTCAGGCAACTCAATCGGTAAGCCCTTGCATCCATTCCTACAAAAAGAAGTGCAATTTTTATTATAGGCTGTATATTTACTTCCGTACACGTGAAAGCTTGAGAGATTTCAGTGTCCATATACATGCTATTGATAATTTAGTATAAACTACAACTAGTATTTGGGTGGGGCATGGTCTAAAAGTTTGTCATTGTTTCCTACAGTTTACATATGCATATACATGCCCAATAATTCGTGATCTGTATTTTACTTTGGTGCATAATCAGAAGCCAGAACTGCATGTTGAGGATCAGTTTTCCTAGAAAGTGTTCGTTTTGACGGGATTTTTTTTTCACTTCACAGGGATTCATATGGTAGATTCTGATAAAGCAATGTAAATGAACAACTCATCTAGTGTCACGATGTCAGGATTATCTGTTACTCAGAACTCCTATGATTAAAAATCCGTTATACACAAAAATGTCCCAACATCGTACATCACAGGCACGAAGTGCACCTTGATGCACGCCACATTGTTTCAAAGAGTACCATTAACCAAATATTGTGATTTTACCAACCTGCCCCAAGAAGAACTACTTGTGCTTCCCCGTCGTTGAAGGAATGAAGTGCTGCTTCAAGCTTCGAATCAAACCAGAGCGTTCGAACTGCAAGAATGACACCAGAGATTTCTCGCGCCTTGTTGACGCAGTCTTTCTTTATCTTCTCATGGAGACTTTTAAGGTAGGACTCTCCCGCAAGTATGTCTGCCAGGGGGTCATGAATGACATGATTCCACAAGGCTCTCCCAGCTGCCGTCTGGCAAGCTGACCGCTGAAGAGGATCCCATTCATTCTCAATCGTTGCATGAACCTGTCGAATGGTGTCTGTGGACAACAAGTCCGGAAGCTTGAACTCCGGCCACGTTGGGAACTCAGGCGAGCCATTGTCTTGACTCGACATGGTCTTTGAATTGCACGGAAACGCCTTCAAACTGCACGTAATTTTGGAAACTAATAGAAAGGAATGGAGAACATATGGCATGCTATGTGTAAGCAGAAGATAGAGGTGGGATCAAAATGTTAGGTTGAGGCAGGTGATAAGAGGGATAAGAAAAGAGAGCCACACAACACAAAACCAAAAGGGTTGGAGAAAATGGCTTACAAGTCGCGTCCCGGCTTTTAATTTTTGCATGGATAAAAAGGGAAGGTTGCAATGCAGTCCACGACTGCCCCAATTAGTGCGTTTCTGTTTTCGGCCTTATAGCCGTTGTGCTATTATCTGGTGCGAGTGGCTCCTAATAAAGGGAAGTCCAGTCCAATCCAGTTCATGGTTTCATAACAAGTACTCATTTGTTTGGTTTTGGCTGTGCATACGACAAAGGCATCCATTTTGATGGTACATGTTTGCTTGCGTTGCACTGTGGCAAAGGAAGGCAATTGGCGTTAAGCTGTTTGCGGTTTCCCAAAAGGCCCCGAATTGATTGGCTATCAGTATGTAGTCGTGTTCAAGTGATTCACCCTCTATACTTGCATCCGTGATGCCACTGTGGGGTCTCGGAGAAGTAGCATGCCATATAATTTTTGGACGTGACATTGTATTATTGATCGGAAGCGTCAAGCATCCAAGGGGTGGAGGAAAGTCTCGTCTCATGGTGACACTAGCCCACGCGCCAAAAGACTTACTAGCTGTGGGGGTAGTTTCCTTTGGTGGCCGGGTAATTCCAACTGGAAAAGCGAAACTTCTCTTTTGTTGGTTGGAACTTGAAAGAGATGGGCCCTAAAGCCCGAAATCAACTAAGGCTGCATGAGAGCAGTGACGGGCCCAGACGCACACACAACTGGCATCAGCAGACAGAGCCCATATTTGACCAATATTTTCCTAGGAGAAGTTAATACCCCGTTTCTCAAGATAAACTGTCTTTTCCATAGGAATTTTGAGACAAAAATCGTATTAGTTAGATTTTGTTTTGATTAATTTTGTGTGCACGATATGATGTTTTAAACTACCTGGATTACGAGAAGAGAAGCGAATTCAAATTTAGGGGTCATGTCAGATGGTTATGAGTATCGGATTTAAACTTAGATGTAAGAAGATGGAAAGGAAGGTTGAAATAGAAAATTGTTAGTAGATGACTATTAACTTTACTTTAATTATTTAATCTTACAACTATAAAACTAGAAAAAGATATATGAAGTGAAGAGTGTAAAATTATTTCTCAATAAACATGTCACCCATTATCGTCGCACTTTAATTTTTGTTCTAAACAAATGGTATTATTTATCTTAAGGAAGAGAAAGATGAATTTGAATCACATTATTGCTAATTTATTATAAAGAAAGTTCTCATCTTTCTTCTTTAATGTAAATAATATCTTTTATTTAAAAAAAAATACCGCGATCTTATCGTCTCAATTAAACGCAAGTTATTCTTGTTAACGCGGGCACTTGCTCCACTGGCGCCGCTAAAAGCAAGTGTTTTTGTGGAAGCAAATAAAAAAATCGAGGGAACCGAACCGGCCAAAAAGAAATCCAGTACACCCAACCCAAAAGGTCCGAGAAACGTGCACGGCTTCAAATTTTGGTCTCCACTCTCCAGCAACCGAGCGACGGAGATGGCTGCGGTGGTGGCCTGCTGCGGGACGAAGTTCTTTTTGTACGTGCTGATAATCGTAGGCCTGGTATGCTTCGCCGGAATGATGGCCGGACTCACTCTCGGCCTCATGTCCCTCGGCCTCGTCGACCTCGAGGTCCTCATGAAGTCCGGCCGCCCTCAGGATCGCAAACACGCCGGTGAGCTTTCTTCCCTCATAATTTCATTTTCTTTAATTTTTTTTATTTGTTATTTGTTTTTAGTTTATGAAATTTGGAGCTGCTCAGCAATTTCGAATTTCTTTGGGCGATCCTCTGGATTCTGAGCTATAAGAACTTTTTTGGTTTGAAACTTATTCAAATTTCGTTTTTGGAAACGGTTTTCTGGACTGGAAATTATGATATTGTTTTGTGAGATGCTGGACAGTAAGCTAAATTACTAGATGACTCAGTTTATTGCAGTCCAAGTCAAAGAATAGTTGAACTTTACAGAAGAACTGGATTTGCGTGTGTTTAATTGCATTAAACTGCTCCGTTTTTTGCAGCTAAAATTTATCCGGTGGTGAAGAATCAGCACCTGTTACTTTGCACGCTTTTAATCGGAAACGCGTTAGCAATGGAGGTAATCGTGTGATGTTGTGACTTTATCTAGGGCAATTAATTCGTAGTAGTTGATGATGTTTCCTGTGTTATTAGGCTCTTCCGGTGTTTTTGGATAGTCTTGTGCCTCCTTGGGCGGCCATTGTGATATCAGTCACTCTCATCCTGGTGTTTGGGGAGGTAAGTTGTCTTCGGAAGAGCATTTCACGCCGAGTGATTAGTTTAAGAAGGTATCTACATACGTACAAAAGATGTTTACTTTTGGTTCTTTGTATTCGTTGCTACTCCAGATATTGCCGCAAGCAGTCTGCACTCGCTATGGATTGACTGTTGGGGCGACAATGGCCCCATTTGTGCGCTTTCTTCTTGTTCTTTTCCTCCCCATTTCGTATCCCATTAGTAAGGTGATGTTAATGCATGAACTTACATAATGATTACAACGACTTTAGATGTTTGTAAATTGTGTGATGTGTCTTGACTGTTTGACGTAGCTGCATATATTCTGTTATTAATTGCATTTTTTTTCCTATTCTGTCATTTTATTTGTTCTATATATGTTCTCTCCGCAGGTTCTGGATTATATGCTGGGTAAGGGACAATCTGCCCTTTTACGAAGAGCAGAGCTAAAGACTTTTGTGAATTTTCATGGAAATGAGGTATATAACCTGACTAAGCTCTCGCATATTGAAAGTTCACATCAGGCACTATACTAGTAGTCTAGTGGCATATGTTAGGAACTTTCAACTTTCCGAAAGTCCTCCGGTTTCCCATGTTCTGTGTTTAAATATGGCATATGCATATGATTTGTTATTTAGGCTGGGAAAGGCGGGGATTTAACACATGATGAGACTACCATCATTGCTGGGGCACTTGAATTGACTGAAAAGACAGCAAAAGATGCTATGACTCCCATAACAAATGCATTTGCCCTTGATCTGGATGCACCTCTTACTTTGTGGGTTTGTGGATTTCGGTTTGTTCTCTCCATCATATTTTATGTGTTCTTCCATTTTTTTAAATCCGTCACTCTATTTTCTCTCCAGGGACACATTGAATGCAATAATGGCAATGGGTCATAGTAGAGTTCCAGTTTATTGTGGGAAGCCCGGAAATATAATTGGTCTTGTTCTGGTAATTCCATTTTTGCTTTGATTATATACTTTTATCAAAGTTGAAGTGGTGCTGCATGTCCGACCAAAAGACAAGAGTGATGCTAGCTTCAAATGTATCAGTTGATTTCATATAAGTGCAGGTTAAGAATCTCTTGATGGTTGATCCAGAAGGTGGAGTTACTTTGAGAAAACTGATGATCAGAAAAATTCCTCGGTATGATAGTACCTCATTATATTTTGGTTTTTATTATTTGATACAAGACATGAGCTAATGTAGTTTTGAGAATTCCTGAAGGGGGTGTGCTTTCTACACACCCTTTTTTACTTCTCACACACCTTAATTTCTGACCGTCGGATCGAATAAAATGAAGAAGATCAAAGGACATAAATTAATAAGGGGTGTGTAAGAAGTAAAAAGGGGGTGTGGATATCACACCCCATCCTAAAATAGTTTGTTTCACTGTCTCTGTTTTATTTTTTATTGGGCTGGAGCATGATAATTCTTGGCTGGCCTTTTCATTTGCTCCACAGGGTTTCAGAAGACATGCCTCTGTATGATATTCTAAATGAATTTCAGAAAGGTCACAGTCACATTGCAGTTGTCTTTAAGTATCCAAACGGGAAAAAGGATGCACTAAAGAATGGCAAAGATGGCGAACCACCCGTGTTTAAGGATGATTGTAAGAAGCAAGTGGGCCAACCTGCGGCATTATTCAAGAAAGGTGTGTATATTCGTAGCAGCAACAATAGAATGCTGCTGTTTAGGTTTATTTTCATTTTGAGGTTCAAGATTCAAATCTCAGTTTTCATATTTAATTGTTTCATGATATTTCATTCTGTACTCATAATGTAAAGTTCCGTTTGAGTATGTTAATGGATGTAACTTGTTCTGTGTGTCCTGTATGATTGATATGATTAACTGAGTTTCTGGCTATCTGATTTCTCAGTGTATGTGCTTTTCCTGAGTTTTTCAATCACTGCCACTTTTTTGTATGTGTGTCCCTTGAAGTACATAGTTTGTGTTCTTGTTGAATTCCAGATGAAAAAGTGGGTTCAAGCAATGCTCGGAGTGCTTTGGACAATGGCATTGGTGATGGAGGTCAACAATCTAAGAAAAGCCCATCAGCTACTCCCGCTTTTAAGAAACGACACAGAGGCTGTTCACATTGCATTCTGGACGTTGAGAACGGTCCCATTCCAGTTTTCCCAAACAATGAAGAGTTTGTAGGAGTAATTACCATGGAGGATGTCATTGAAGAACTTCTTCAGGTAATGGTCATGCATTGTAGGAATAAGTAACTGAATCTGCTCCTGCATTTTCTTACGACACTTGTGTGAGTATTATCTGGATACTGGATTTTTGTAAATTTTAATTGTTGCATGTATTGATCCGAATTGTAAATCTCTGCTTATACCAGGAAGAGATATGGGATGAAACAGATGAGTACGTCGATATCCACAACAGGTAAGATTTTAAGTGATTTTCACCTGCACATAATAGCACAACACATTCTTCTTAAATCTTCGGTTCCATAGTACGGGTTCGTCAATCATTTTGCTTTGGGAGCAGGACAACCAGAATTGCTGAAACTTGTATTTTGGACCGAAAGATGATAATATTTCTTGGATAGTGCAGGATTAAGGTCAATATGCATGTATCTCAGGAAAAGCCTTCTTACACGAACTCATCCAATCCTTCCGGACAATGGTCACCTGTCAACCACGCCCCACTGCTAACATCATCATCAGTGCCACCGTATTCAGGTTCTTCTCAACATCAAGACTCTGATAAGGTGACTGCTGTAGGTCCATTGCCAACGGACTCACATACCACAACTCATCAAGGTTCTGAAGGCGACACGTCAAGAGATCAGTGAGATTGATCGTATGTTCTTCGCATGAATGAAATTTAGATGCACAAAATCGATATTTGAGTTTAAAATTATGTAAAATTAACCGAATACTATCTAGTTATGTAGAAAGATATGATCCTCTACATGTTTGATGAGAACCCACTGCTAAGACAACTCTCTCGATCTCTCTCGATCTCTCTCTCGAACGTAAATTCTATCACTACATCACGTGTTAATAATCTTGTATTCTTCAGTAATTCAAACCTAAAGTTTAATTGCAAGAGAAACGCTAAAGCGACTTTCTTAAAGTAGAATTCTTTATGGACTCTCTTCTACCTCATAGTTTAATGTCGATTCTTGTTCTAACATTATAAAAAATTGTGTAAAAAATATGAGGGGATGAGTCTATGAAGATATTTTTCCGTTTCAATCTTTTTATTTCTAAACTATAACCAACTTGATTAATACGTTCTCGCACTATAATCAGATATTCACTTCACGAGCATAATACAAATGAATAATTTGTAAAAAGAATTGTTATTAGCATTTCAAAAATCATATTTGGCATTCCAAACTTTCTATAATTAAAAAGATAAATACACTTGTGAGGAGTATAGAATGAGATTTTTGAAATGCTAATAACAATTTCTTATGTAAAATTTGGAAATTATCAACTTATCTTTCACTCATGAAAATGATTTATACCATACTAAGTGACCGTATTCAAATATTATACGCGATTAATACCATATTAAGTGACCATATTCAATTATCTATACGCTAAATTTTTATGCACGTGCTAGTTAGCCGCTGTGCGCAGTACGCACCGTAACCTGGACATAAACCCGAAACTTTCTGGTGGCGGTCAATTTCCATCCATGGCGCTCGCCGCAAAATGCAAGTAAAATCTACGTTCTTCCACATGAGTTCCAGCCTCTGAGATGACACGACAACCTTATCAGCACTGCCCACTTCGCAGACAACATAATTTTTATACACAAATTTCAAAAGTTTATTACTTTATACTCGATTACTACCTTTGCTCGTCAGTCATTTCCCCAACTAATCACTTTAAAAAAAAAAAAAAAAAAAAATAATAATAATAATAATAGTTTTAATTTTTCCGAGTGACAGAGAAGTTTCTCCCACTTATTTGAAAATTCTGCTGCTAAAAGCTAATTTATATTGGGTAGGTGCTACTTGGTACTTACCCAATTCAAAATCCTTCTTTAATTTCTCAGTTCATTGGAAAAAAATTTTACTCTTCTTTAGATTTTTCATGATCTTGAAGGTTGTAAATTCTTTGAAAGGCGATTTCTTTTTGTTGTACTTCGATCCAGACGGTGATTTTCCCATTTGGGTACTCGCAGTTTCATCTTCTATTTCCATTTTTAGAAACATTTCCACAGATCTGTCTCGTCCCCTGCTCCAGATTCGTTAAAGATTTCCTTTTCTAGTTAAATCTCACTTCTGGATTTGAATTTCGATATTTTATCCAATTTTGGCGGGGTTTTTCATTGGGGGGTTTCCAGATTTATAGGCTCCTTAGTGTACATTCTTCAAAGAGAGATGGCAGTGGCTCGGTTAGCTCGGTTGGGCCGCCAAGCAAAACGGCCAGGTGGGTTCTGCATAAAAATGACGGCGGTGGCAATCTTGGGCCTCTGTTTTATATTCGTCTGGTCGATGTTTTCTTCTCCTTCCTCCTCCGTCACCACCCGAATCGAAAGCTTCGACAACATTGGGGCATCGCCTGGATCAAAGAGCACCAGGGGGAGCACTCCCAGTGGGACCCACCAAGTTGCTAGTAATGGTGGGGAGGAGAAAAGGGCTAATGGCTCTGCTGTGAGTTCACCTGCCCATGAGCATAAATACGAGAAGGAGAAGAAAGAAGAGGTAAATGGGAAGAAGGGGAAGGGTAAGAAAAAGTTACCAGAGAGTGTGGTGAAGGGTAAAAATGTGACCTTGGAATCCGAGAATGAAGATTCGGAGAGTGAAAAGGAAGATGGGGATGAAGAAAAGGAGGTGGTGGATGGAAAGGAAGAAGCTTTGGGTGATGACAGTGAAGGAAATGGGGAAGCAGGGGGAGAGGGGGATAATTTGATGGAGACGATGGATAAGGAATCGGAGGAGGTGAAGCTGGAAGATGACGGTGGTGAATCCGAAAAAAGAGGGAAGAAGAGGTATAAGATGAAGGGTCCATTGTTTGATCCAAAAGCACATTATAGTTGGAAACAATGTAGCACAAGGAGCAAGCATAATTACATTCCTTGTATTGATATGGAAGTTGGATCTGGAAGGCTGCAGTATAGGCATACTGAGAGGAGTTGCCCGAAAGTGGAACCTATGTGTCTTGTACCTCTTCCCCGCGATGGATATGGCCCCCCGGTCCCCTGGCCTGAGAGCAAAGAGAAGGTATATATGCTTAGCGTTTCATATGTTTTTCTTGTATTCAAGTGTAGTACAATGTGAGGAAAACGAATTTTACTGATGTTTTGTTTTCGTAACATTTCGTGTTTTGTAGATATTGTACAAGAATGTGGAGCATCCGAAACTGGCTGTATTCATCAAGGAACATAGTTGGGTGATGAAGTCTGGAGAATATCTGACTTTCCCTCAGAACCAGTCTGAATTGAAGGGTGGGATTCTTCACTATCTTGAGTCCATTGAAGAGGTGTGACTTTTACTCATTGTCCATTGAATTTGAGAATCTGTATGATGCCTCTTTTATTACAACCTGAAATGAATTGATAACGCTTGTAAATGATTATTTGGGTAGATAGACGATTTCTCTTTCGAACGTGTGTTTTTATATATGAAATGAGTGGTAAACCTTGGAAAATCTCATATTTCTAGGATAAAGAGTCTTAACTGTTTTATCTCTACTATATTTTTGCATCCTAATATTGTGAGAGATGTGGAGTTTGAAACCAGCCTCTATTTACAGATGGCAATTAAACTTCACCATATACGTACTCTGATGTGTATGTATGTGCTAGTTATCTCCTAATAGTAATTGCTGTAAGTCTTACCATAAAAAGAAGTTTGAATTTTTGTTTTGTTTGATAGATGGTACCAGACATCGAATGGGGAAAGAATATCCGTGTAGTGCTTGATATTGGATGTACAGATTCCGCCTTTGGGGCTTCTCTTGTTGATAAGGATGTATTAACATTGGCATTGGGCTTGAAAGATGACCTAGTTGACCTAGCTCAAGTTGCCCTCGAACGTGGTTTTCCTGCTTTAGTTAGCCCTTTTCAAAATAGAAGGCTGCCTTTCCCCAGTGGTGTTTTTGATGCTGTTCACTGTGGCGGTTGCACCATACCTTGGCATTCAAATGGTTTGAATCGATTTCTTTCTGCCTTTCATTCTTCATTTCTTCTTCTTGAAGTTTCAAATCCAACTTTAAGTCACACTTTCATGGATTTCTTTCTTTTGCAGGGGGTAAGCATCTTCTGGAGATGAATAGGATTTTAAGGCCAGGCGGATACTTTGTCTTGTCAACTAAACATGACAGCTTTGAAGAAGAAGAAGGTTTGCCCTATGCTGCTAACTATTATGATAATAATAATTATTTTAGATGCTTGAAAGCTGGAACAGTAGGCCTTGTGGTCCGAATATCTTACAGTTAATACTATTTTTGTGAGGACTAACTTCCTTAGGATATCTAATATTTGTTTGCTTTATGATATTATATAATTTTATCCTGAGTTGCTTGTGCTGAATAATTTGATAACATGTGGCATTTTTTTTCTTATCTTCCAGCCATGGCTAAATTGACCGCATCTATCTGTTGGAATATTCTGGCTCATAAAACTGATGAAGTCAGTGACGTGGGTGTCAAAATATACCAGAAGCCAGACTCAAATGATATATATGATCTGAGGAGGAAGAAATATCCACCTTTGTGCAAGGAAAATGAAAACCCAGATGCAGCCTGGTAAGCTTAAATGAACTTGCTTGACAATATTCGTCTCTTCTAGGTTTTTAGCATTATGAATCCATACATGTTCCATTTCTGGCTTGTTAATTTGTTGAACGGAATCAGTATGTTCATTATCTGCGCACGGAAGACCACTTTTGGATGATTTAGGAACAGTTAGCCTTACGTGTCCCTTAACAGGTATGTTCCCGTGAAGACTTGCTTGCACCCCATTCCATCTGCCATTGAACAGCGTGGCACAGAGTGGCCAGAGGAATGGCCCAAAAGGCTCGAAAGGTATCCTGACTGGTTAAGTGATAAAGATAAATTGGATGCAGACACTAAGCACTGGAAAGCTATTGTTGATAAATCTTATCTCACTGGACTGGGTATCGACTGGTCAAAAATTCGAAATGTAATGGACATGAAAGCCATCTATGGAGGGTATGTAAATAAATTCAACAGAACCTTGTGTTTTCTTTTCTTTTCAATAGAAACACGTCGAAGTTGATTGGTGAATTGAATTGTAATGTACTTGACGCAGATTTGCTGCAGCCCTCGCACAACAGAAGGTTTGGGTGATGAATGTGGTACCTGTCCATGCTCCTGATACACTTCCTTTCATATTTGAACGCGGGCTTGTTGGAACCTACCACGACTGGTGCGAGTCTTTTGGTACTTATCCCAGATCATATGACCTTTTGCATGTGGATCATCTGTTTTCACGGCTTAAGAATAGGTGAGAGCCAACTCCTCCAGTTAGCGCTTCATTACTGTTTGCAGTGGCATTTTGTTATTGAAGTCTCCGGTTTTTCAAGTGTCCCAATCCTTTACATCTGGAATACTACTTTGCAGGTGTAAGCAGCCTGTATCAATCGTTGTTGAGATGGATCGCTTGTTACGGCCTGGAGGTTGGGCAATTATACGCGAGAAAGTTGAGGTACTGGAACCCCTGGAGGGTATATTGAAGAGTATGCATTGGGAGATCCGGATGACTTATGCTCAGGGAAAGGAGGGTATCTTATGCGCCCAGAAAATGTTGTGGCGGCCTTAAAACGATAATGCAGCTTCATACAAGTCCATAACAGCACGAAGACCTGCGGCGAAGCCATGCTTCCTTCGGGTGCTCCATCCAATTTTGAGCGTTGTTATAACCGATGTTTTTGATATACCACTTGAATTTTATTGGTGATGCAGTTGCAGTTGATGTAGAGGATGAGCTGAGGAAGTGAGGGTGAATGAGTTCAGTTCACTAAGAGTGCACATTATTATGTTTTTTTCCTAACCATTTCAAGTGATGGATTTTTCTGTGTATAGGTTTGTGTATTATATGATGATGTTATATTAAAGAATTAAGATTCTTTTTTATACGAGCGAATTTTATTTTAAATTTATCTAAATTGCAGAGAAAGGGATCTGAACCCAGGTGCATAATGTGAAGAACATTCGCTCTAGCTCATGTGACTGTCTACATTTGCAAATGAATAATTTTCTTTCAGGAGCGAAATGTTGTATCCTTGTATTCGAGTAAGGTTTATTTGATTGTTACCCTGGTTCTAATACGTGTTATAACACGAGTCAATTCAATTTGACACAATGTTACTCATTGAAATTATACGAAAGTACGTTACTGCCTCGTGTAGTACCGAAACTTGATGAGGGATATTAGTGCATATGAGCATATGCACTAGAGAAGGCCCAGCACTCATATATTTTGGGCCGATTAAGACCAATTTGAATTCAGCCCACCAACATTGCGTACCCAAAATTCCAATCGCCGTCTTCCGCCTCCTCTTTCACTCTCTCGCGGTTCTGCAACGAACCCCATTCTTCTTCGCGCCTCCATAACACTCATGTGATTGTCCGCCAAAGGCAATCCCACAAATTTAATTCCCGCCATGTTCCTCTCCTCCGCTCCTGCGCGGCTCACTCTCCTCGCCCTCCTCTCCGCCACCACTGTCTACTGTTTCTACAAATCCCGCCGCCTCCGACGCCTCAAGCTCTCCCTAAACCCTAACCCTGGCTCTTCGCCTCGCAGAGGCAAGCTCTTCTTCGTCTCCCAAACCGGAACCTCCGAAGCCCTAGCTCGTCGCCTGCTCGATTTTCTGAAATTAAAAGGCGTCGCTTTCGACCTCGTCGACCCCAACAACTACGAGCCGGAAGACCTCCCGAAGGAAACCCTAGTTCTGATCGTCGCTTCGACTTGGGATGACGGGAAGCCGCCTCCGAACGCCAAGTTCTTCTCCAATTGGCTCGCCGAGAGCGCGGAGGACTTCAGGGTGGGATCGCTGCTGCTCTCCAATTGCAAATTCGCCGTCTTCGGCGTTGGGAGCCGAGCCTACGGCGCTACGTTCAATGCGGTGGGGAAGGCCTTGGCGAGGAGGATGAGGGCGTTGGGCGCTTCTGAGATGTTTCCGATTTGGGAAGGTGACGTGGACGGTGGTGATTTAGACGAGGTGTTTGATGCTTGGAGTGGGAAGGTGGTGAGGTTTCTGAAGGGTGGTGCGGCGGAAAATGGCGGGGTTTTGGGTAATGGGGTTAGTGATGAATGTGAAGCTGAGAGCTTTGATGTTTCAGACGAGGAAGATGAGGAGGAGGAGGACGGTGGGGAGTCAGGTGTTGTTGATCTTGAGGATATTGCAGGTAAAGGGCCTTCAAGAAGGAACCCAGTGGCGGCGACGAAGACGAACGGGACAGTAAATGGTAAAAAAGAGATGGTCACTCCGGTGATTCGAGCTAGCTTAACGAAGCAGGTAAGCTTTTCTGAGCAGTCTTCTTTCTGGAAGATTTGAAGTGTTGTGTTTGCCTTTAGGATTTTTGTTCTGATCTTTGGCTTTGATTTTCCTCGAGTGAAAATGCAGGGCTATAAAATTATTGGTTCTCATAGCGGTGTCAAAATTTGTAGATGGACAAAGTCGCAGCTTCGAGGCCGTGGAGGTTGCTACAAACACTCGTTTTATGGCATAGAAAGTCACAGGTAACCGAAATTATTATCAATTTGGAGCAGATTTCGCACCGTCCTTTCCCATGTACACGTCTGTGTGTAATACCTCAGTGCTATGTAATTAGTGGTGAATTGGCAGTCTTATAACATATACATTTTGAATTTGTATATTTTACATAGTTGCATTTACTTTTATAGTTGTTTATGTATTTCACGTTGCCTCAACTAGCGGTTTAAATTTGAGACGTTTGAATGAAACAGGTGCATGGAGACAACCCCTAGTCTGGCATGTGCCAACAAATGTGTTTTTTGTTGGAGACATCACACAAATCCTGTCGGAAAGAGTTGGCAGTGGAAGATGGATGATCCGTTAGAGATTGTTAATTCTGCCATAGACCAGCACACGAAAATGATCAAGCAAATGAAAGGAGTTCCTGGTAAATCCTGTGATTTTTTTCTTTTGGTGAGAAATACATCCTTGGATAATGCATTAAGTATTTTTAGTTGTACAAGACTGCTCGAACCAGTGATGAATTAATTGAAACACTGTTTAGGAAGGCATGGTTATATTGCGTTCCCCAACTAGTTGGTTGTACTATCATCAACTAAATCCTAGGAAACTTAATGGTGTATAGATCTGCTTAATTCTATGTCATGAGATAACTTCTCCTGCAGGTGTTACATTGGAGCGATTAACAGAGGGTCTCTCTCCCAGGCATTGTGCCTTATCACTTGTTGGTGAACCCATCATGTATCCTGAGATTAATGCACTCATAGATGAGCTGCATCAAAGACGGATTTCTACTTTTCTAGTAACAAATGCTCAGTTTCCTGAAAAGATCAGAATGCTGAACCCTATCACGCAGGTTTGCTTGCTACTGTTATATTGCTGTCTGATCTTACATCATGCTATTCTTTAGTTTTGGCAATGATTTTGGACTTCTTTGTACACAGTTATATGTAAGTGTAGATGCTGCAACTAAAGAGAGTTTGAAGGCGATTGATAGGCCACTTTTTGGGGATTTTTGGGAGCGATTCATTGTAAGCATCTGATCTACTTGATACTTTGAGGTCCCAATTTCTTGTCTTCAATCCACTGATAAAAAGAAAATGATTCAGTACTTCTGGTGTTACTCATGTGTTTGCTTGAATTTTTATCGCCAGGATTCCTTGACTTCTCTCAAGGACAAACAGCAACGAACTGTTTATCGCCTAACTCTGGTGAAGGGCTGGAATACAGAAGATATCGATGCTTATTATAACATTTTCAGCCTTGGCAGTCCTGATTTTGTTGAAATCAAGGGAGTTACATATTGTGGAACGTAAGTTTTCGTTTCTTTCGTTCCTATGTAGTCAGGTCATTTAAATGCTTTAGTTCTATATTCAGAGTGATCAATTCACAGGTCTGCTACATCGAAGTTGACAATGGAGAATGTGCCCTGGCATGCTGATGTTAAAGCATTTTCAGAGGCCTTAGCTTTGAAAAGTAACGGGGAGTATGAAGTCGCATGTGAGCATGTCCACTCGTGCTGTGTCCTCCTGGCAAAAACTAGCAAGTTCAAGATTGATGGCCAGTGGTTCACGTGGATTGACTATGAAAAGTTTCACGATCTGGTATATTTGGCTCCAACAATTATATACTCCTAGAGTGCCATTTGGGCGATCATATTTATTCACTCATCCATTCTTATGGAAAATGCAGGTGGCTTCTGGAAAACATTTTGACAGTAAGGATTACATGGCTCCAACACCTTCATGGGCCGTTTATGGGGCAGAGGAAGGCGGTTTTGATCCGTATCAGTCTCGATACAAGAAGGAGCGCCATCACAGAACAAACCAGTGACAACCAGGTTAGGGGTTTGATTAGTATGGAGTTCTAGGAACAGTTTTGATTGTATTGTATTGTAGTTTTACCTATGTGAGCAAGTTTTTGCACGACATAACAACAGTCTATAGATTAAGAGAGTTTCTGGGTAAGTTTTACTCTGCAATGTTTATGTTCGGACAATGTCATAAAGATGAAACTACTGTTTAATCAGGGAGGTAATTACTGTTTATGTTCCAATTCATTCAAATAGATTCTAAAGGTTGTGGCTACTTGATGTCTTTTGTGTCCTTTAGATGTTCTTAGCTGACACTAAGATAGTGGCGCCCAAAACCTATGTTTACCTTCTTGCATTGCGTCACATGATTGGTTTGGGACGAGCGCTTTAGTTTTCGGTCAATATCCATTTGTCTATAATCCTTCTCACGTTGTTTTTTTTTTTTTTTGTGGTCAAGTCTTCTCACCTTGTATTGTAACAATAGTTGGCGAAATATCTGTTTCAATGGCCCCTTGTAATGGTGCTTGATCTTCCATAAGGGGAAATTGTCGTTACCTATAAATGTCGTACACAGCTTTCCACATCAGCCAACCTCTTTGTGCATTATTTTTGTCTTAGTTTTTACTGTTAGGCAGAGCAAATTACGTCATTTATCCAAACAAGGTATCCCCTAATGGTTGGAGATGGAATTTCATGTTATATGTCATACGATACGTTATTGGTTCGATTTTTGGAATTGATGAATTGTACGATGGTGATCAGGGAGAGACTAAATGCCTCTGTGAGTTTTTCCAACTCTCGAAATGATGACTAACTAATCTTTTTTAAAAATAAAACAAAATGAAACGTCCAATCAGTAAATTTTATTTCACACGCATTATTTGTTCACTTAGCATTTGATTTAATATGCACCTTGAACATTTCTCAAAACTTTTACAAATCTATATTATAACTCTCTAATTAATAAAACTGATCATTTTATTACCAAAAACAAAATATAGAACCCTACTTTCAAGTCTTTGCATGGATGGTGCATACTACCAAAAAAGTAAATAAAAATTAAAAACCGCTTTGGTCCAAGATACAATTACTAAATTAAATTGTCAAAAGTCCCGAGGTATAGGACATTGTAGAGCACCATAAAAATTTCATACAACTTATATAATTCAATGTAAGTATACATAATTGACTTGAAATACTGTTGCGTAAGCATAAAACTCGTAGCTAGGTTACTTTGACCTTATCCATGATTAATGCTTAATGGATGAGACACGAGACGGTACTAATTAAGCTAGGTGCCTTACGCGCCCGTGGAGTGGAACCCCTAGCTGCCACGTCCTACTTATTAGAAAAGCACTTATTGGCTTACCGAGGCGGCGAGCTTAACCTGCGAAAGCAGCTTTCTTTCTACTAGCTTTGCACGCTTGCTTGTGCTCCTTCAAGGGAGTGCTTTTATTCGTGTATTAATTTAGAACGTGAGTGTCACGTGACAGATGCAGCGGCTTGGCAATTGACAGTAGCAGAGCTGCTAACTCGGCTAACATGCGATTTCTGTTTCCATTTTCCAGATTTTGCAATCTTCCTTTTTTCTAAATTTTGCAGAAAACCCCACTTCTTTTAGTGGCCCCTCTATTTTCATTTTTTTTTTTCTTACCCCTTTCCACATAAATAATTGAGCGTAACTAAGTTGGTGATGTCAGTGTTCTCCGTTTCCTTAAAATGATGTGTCATCAATAAGAATAATACATTTATTAACGTATAATTAATAAATCAATTATCAACTTTCATATTTTTAATTTTCAAAACAAACTTTATCTATAAATTTAATCTCCTTGACGTTCACTTCCTTCAAATATTTTGGTTGCATTTTAGTTGCAGACTTCAGTCTCATCCAAGTTAGCTATGCTAATAATGCTTCACTTTGTGCCTAAGTTCGAATTCTTTTCCGGATGGATTAGTTTAAAACATCTCTTGTATTATAACATAAACACCAAAACTAATTTCCTACAGGTGAAAATAACAAAAAATGAAACTAATGAAAGATATATTTTCATCAATGAACTGAGAAATGAAAAACCCTAGTTGTTCAGTCTAATTCATCCAACTACTAATCAATAGAAAAAACTAATCGGAAAGTATTTTGATTGCGAACAGAAAAGCTGATTATAGTATACAAAGGCAGAGGCTGGAAGAAATCAAATGCAAAAATCGAAGTCCAACTCTCTATCTTCTGCATATAATTTATATGCAGGAAATTAAGGAGAGATAATATGTTGCCTTTACAGATTTTTTTTGATTGATTTAATTAATTTTCCAGATGTTTTTAACACAGAAGAGGAAACTAAGAACAATAAAGAAATTACCATGAGAGTAACTAGCTATGGCTACTCTTTCTGGGTTTGCTTTTCCTCCTTGCTCTACTTCTTGAAGGCTCCCTAGGTAAAAAACCTTCTTCTTTTTTACCACTACCTTCTTCTTCTTCTTTTACCTTTGGCTGCTGTAACTCTTCCTGTTGCTTCTGCTTTTGATCTTCATCATCCTCATCCTCATCTACTTTTGCTTTTTTGGAATCACTTTCTTTAACATCTTCAGCTGCAGAAGCAGAAGCAGATTCTTCTACTCCTGCTGTGGATTGCTCTTCAATAACAATCTTGCGAGGCCTTCCTCTCTTTCTTGGGGTATGAGCCTGGGGTTGCTGCTGAGATTCGTCTCCTGTTGACGAAGCTTCCGCTATTGCCACTGATAGCTCCTTCGTTTTCTGAGGCTTCTTTCCCATAGAAAAATTTCTCTATCAAATAATAAATATTTTGATGATAATTTTCACCAAGACAACAACTTTTATATTAACTTTTATATTAATCTGATGAGTAGAAATAAAACCCCGAAAGCCAAAAAAACTTCAAGAACATTCTCTAATATTTTTCACTCTCTCTCTCTAAAGATGAGAACCGGCAGAGAGAGAAGGCTTAAATCTTTGACCTGCACCTAGATTCGGAAAATACCATTAAAATAATCTCTTTCCAGTCATATACGAGACCCAATAAAATTCGACCCGGCCCCCTCCTCCTACTCTCCTATTACTGTTGGATAAAAATAAGCAAAAATATTTTAAAAAAAAAAAAAAAAAAAAAAAAGCTCAAAAGCCACTAATAATCGTATTTCCCTTTTCTTCGGTAGTACCTATTTTTCTATCCCCTTCATGTCTGAGTAAAAGAATATAGAAAAGACAAGGGAGGAGGAAATGAGGTCGAAAGCCAGTGAGGGAAAACTATGGAGTGGCTGAGGATGGATAACCCTACCATATATATTTTAGATGCTACCATGGTTAGGGGTCTTGTTAGGGTTTTAGGGTGTTTTTAAACTAATAATAAGTACGGATTTAGGTCTTTATTCAAGCGTGTTGGCACTCTAAAACAATGTTAATAATAGTTTTTATTTGTATTCAAGTGACAGTGTTTTGGTTTAAGCGATATTGGAAAAGAACAGAAATTGAACGGTGGAGCTATATGTTTTTTAGCACAAAGATACATTTTATACTAAGAAGAGTAGGAATTCGGCTAAGTCGAATAATAGGCAATACAATTTAATATCAAATTCTTTATCTACGAAATCTGAATTTATTACTTCTTACTTACAAGTGAAGATAAATACTACCAGACTGTAGTATTGACTATTAATCAAACGTTAAAACTTCAACTAGGTTTAAAGATAAATGCTCTTGAACTTAACTAATTGATTTTGTGCATCAACAAATCTTAAACTATTCGAAAGAGATTTGGAACACATATTGAGTGAAGAGACGAGGACATCAACTTGCCAACTCGACAACGACCACATCTGCAAAAAGAAGGCTTCGGGGTTGGACGAAGGCTAATTTGGTATTGATGTGTTTTGAAAAAAAAAAATTGTTTCTGCTGTGCTGTAAGAATAAACTCATTTTTATTGTTTCACGTTTTTAATTTTTTTTTTAATCTAAAATTATGAAAATAAGTTATTTTTTATTTACCAAATATATTTTTAAATTTAAACTCCTTTTTTATAAAAATATCTCAATACCAAATCAGTAGCCAATGCCAAATTGGTTATCTTTCTCTCTCTCAACCTTTTTACTAATGTGAAAAACGAAAAAGGTAAGCATGTGGGTTTATTTCGACGTGGGTAATAAGACGGATGCGTTGTACTGTATGGTTCAGGACTCAGTGTTTCAGTCTGACCACCAGTGTCGGGTTTCGCGCCCTTTGAGCTGTGATAGGCTGCTTCTGAGCTGTATCCTACTCTACTCTCCCTCCTAGACATTGACCACCGCTGCGTACCCTTCTTGCCCTTGACAGATCATACATACATAGATGACCATCATGACATTCGCTGCGCCTACGGTTTGATCTTGGAGTCGTTGAGGCACATATCCTGTTGGCTGTTTTACTTGGAGGCATTTACGAGATGTTAAAAGGCGGTGATATTTTAAGTAAAACACACACGATGTGTGATTTAATCATTCTTTTGCATGATTATTTTGAAATACCGTAATTAATATAGTCGATTTGGTAAAGGAGAGAACAGAAAAACAAAAATGGCTTGAGAGTGCAGAACAAAAAAGAAGAAGAAATTAAACAGTGGGCATGGAAATCAGCAGGGTTTTACGGCCTGTTTGTGATTTGAGCATAAGAAGCCTCCAACCATTTCTATTTTCTAACCCTACCAAAATGTTTCCTAACAAAAATATACAAAGTGTGCGGAACTCATTTTTTGTAATATATTTATTACTCTTTTATTCCTTGATTTGTATTCATTTTAAATGATTTGGTACGATTTTCGATTCGTTAATTTAAAAAGTTGGGAAATTTTGAAATAAGTCTAATTTTTTATATTATCTTGTGAAATATGTTCAATTTTTAATGATTTTTTATTTTTGAAATAGGTCTAATTTTCAATTACTTTGGACCCATATCAAAAAATCCCTTTAAAGTGTACGGTTTAAGAAATAAGTTTTCATACTTCTCAATACTATTTTTGCGTAAAAAATCACCATAATGCTTCTTTCAAGGTGACAATATATTTCGTATTTAAGTGGCAAATTAGCAAATATAATGTAAAGCATTTTACTGTGGTGCCGAAAGTAATTTAAGGTTTGTTTGACCGACCAACATGGTCAAACCTTGTTATAATCCTCCATCCTTCGTACCTTCTACGCGACCCGCGACTCGCGACAAAGTTTGCATAGACGCGTAATCACCCTCACATTTGAAAATCTGCCGACGTAAAAGGCCATGGGTCCCGTCATATGCCCCACCATTCACAGGGCTACGTCGTCGTTTCAAGCTATTCCATCCGAACACCAAACTTAGCTGGTTTTGGTTCCAGGAGGAACCTTGCCGGATCTTTTTACGAGGATTGTATAAATTTTTTAGTTACATCTGTTTATTGTATATTATATCGATTAAAAATTATTATAAATTTTTTATTTAAAATTAAATATACATAGTATCTGATAAAAATTAACCATATATGTAATTGAAGGATCCAGCGAGGATCCTCTCACTTGAAGTTGCGAATGGAACCTTTACTAATTCGGATAATTTGTTTATTATGGTGATGCGGCATTGCGAGGCTGCCACATGTGGTCAACGTGAATTGGTCAACGAGAGGTTCCAACGCTGCCGCATCCACATGTGCGGATGTCGATCTCGTTGTCGTTATTCAATTCAAGGTTGCTTAATGCAAGTTTGTTAATTATTGACACTCTACTTACGTACTTAACCCGCTAAGAGTTCGTTAATTGGAGAGCTTTACTTAATCTAGGAAGTAGGTTATGTAACGACAGAGGAAAACAAAGTAGAGAATAAAATGTGTTTATCAGGTTACGTTATAAGTGTTGTAAACTCAAAAGTTTATACAATTACGGTTTCATTTCATGCCCTATTAAACTAGTTAAATCTTTTGTTGTTCAAAACCAAAGGTATCACTCTACCCAACCTTTTGTTCGAGTGTTGGGTAGAGCGATGGTTGGTGACTTGATGAGAGTAAATAAATTAGGATAGTACTATCCACATATTTATTTTTACCTCTCACATATTTTTATTAAGCTTTGGTCATTAATCTTTTTCAATTTATTTCATTCAACAATCGAAAATTAAGAATAGTGCATGAAAAATAAAAAATAAGTGTGTGATAGCACTACCCTTAAAACTAAGCAGTGTATAAAGTTGGCCACCTAATAAGAATGCCATAAAACCAAACGAATATGAACGAAAATACCAAATTCATATGCTGCCAAAGCCATCTGAGTGCATATACCAAATTTTAGAAAGGAAACTACTTGGCTGATTGGACATCGAAGAAGTTTGCAAATGACAGTTTGACACGTACATATGTAAAATGTCAAGGAGTCGAGTTTTTCTCCTTCGGAGATTAGATTGGACGGAAATCAGATTGGGCTGATTGGATGAAATGGATTTGGGAGATTCTTGGCCCTTTGTTTTGGATCGCATTATAGGTTTGCTCCCATAAAATTTGGGTTCAACTTTGTATCAACGGTTTGGGCTTCATAAACTGTTCTTTCAGCCCATAAGAAGAGGCTTATTTTGCTTAAAGACATTATGGTTGAAAACAAATTAGCTGTATTAGGATAATTTTTTTTTACGCATTTATATTTAATCATTTCCGTTGTTCTTGTTTGATTTATTTAACCTAATGATGAAAAATAATAGATATGTGAGAAACAGAAAAAAATATGTGAAAATCAACTTTTCTTAAGAAATCATTACCATCGCAACTTAGTATTATAATCTAGTGGTATTTGTCACAACCCAGCCCGGGGGGATCACTTCCCGGCCCCGCTCTACCACCGTAGCACGATATTGTCCGCTTTGGGTCCCGACCACGGCCTCACGGTCCTGCTCCACCATCGTAGTACGATATTGTCCGCTTTGGGTCCCGACCACGGCCTTACGGTTTTGTTTTTGGGAACTCACACAATAACTTCCCCACCACGGCCTCACGGTTTTGTTTATGAGAACTCACACAAGAACTTTCCCAGTGGGTCACCCATCATGGGAGTGCTTTCGCGTGCTACTCGCTTAACTTCAGAGTTCTCATGGAACCCAAAGCCAGTGAACTCCCAAAAGGCCTTGTGATAGGTAGAGATGAGAATATACATATAAGGCTTACAGGATCCACTCCCCTGGACGATGTGGGATGTTATAGTATTCCTCTTTACTTGTAAGTGAGAGGTCTTAACCGTTCGATTCTCGCCAAATGTGAGTTTGAACCATATTATTGCTAACCCATTGTAAGACTAAACCCACCCTCTCTCGTTTTGGTATAGATAATATCTTTTGTTTAAAAAAAAAAAATCATTACCATCATCTTTTGTATGATTAAATGATTAAGATTAAGAGACTGTTTGCTAAATATTTTGTTTTAAGATGTTAATTTTTAAACAAAAAAATAATAACTGAAAATAGTTATTAAATAAAATTTTAATTCCAAAAAAATCTAAACTAATAATTAAATATTTATAAAAATGGACCCCAATTTTCAAATGTTTTTAGTTTTCAATGTGTCAAAGTTATACTCAAGAGGAAATACAAAAATATTATTTTTATCATCTATTTGTACGATCATTCTTATTGAAATGAGATTCACATGTATTGGAGAGCCGGCGGCTTCACTTTTATTAAAAAGATGATATAAGTAATGATACAATAGATTGTAAGTGTAGCATTACTCTGAAAAAATAACTATTGATTTGTTTTTATTTTTATGAAGAGAGTATAT